CTAATAGTTTTTAGTGGATAATTTTTTATGTGTTTACAAGTCACCCTAAAAGTGTTGTTTACCTTTTGGTAATGAAGCTAACTAATACTTTAGTATTGCCTCTCCCTTCGTCCTCTCCTTTCTCCTCCTTGACCTTCCCATTTATAGAGACCAATAAATGTGTACAAACGGATTCTCCTTCCCTTGTTGGAACTGACCTTGTTCATTGTGCTGAATTTGGAATAGAATCCAATCAATAAACTCTTAAATAGCTATCTTGAGAACATTTTAGTATTTTCACAAGTGAGTGTAATATTTTCAAAAATATGAGTCTGGTAGGTGGGGAAAAGATGCTTTTAAAATTTTCATTATCAGGGGGCCGGCCCGGTGGCCTAGCCGTTAAGTTTGCGTGCTGTGCTTCCGCGGCCCGGGGTTCGCAGGTTCGAATCCCAGGTGTGCACCGACGCACTGCTTGTCAGGCCATGCTGTGGCGGCGTCCCATATAAAGTAGAGGAAGATGGGCACGGATGTTAGCCCAGGGCCAGTCTTCCTCAACAAAAAGAGGAGGATTGGCAACGGATGTTAGCTCAGGGCTGATCTTCCTCACAAAAGAAAAAAAAATAGTTTTCATTATCAGTGGTCTTTGCTGGAAAGTAAAGAAATGTAAAATAAAACAGGTAAAAGGAGCCACCCATCCATCTAAAAGAGCAAAAATAAAAATGATAAAATTCAGCACTTGCAGGGTTATGAAGAGATAGTCATGTCCATATATTGCTGGTGACACTGTAGGTTAGTTCAATCATTTGTATGATAAGAACCATAAAAATGAGCCTATACACCTAGCTCTACTCGCAGGATATGACATAAAAATTGAAAACTATTTGTATGAATTCTTTTTAGCTGTGATATGAGATAGTCATTAAAAAAAAGAAAGCAGAAGCCCCAAATCCAACAATTGGAAGCTAGTGAAGCAAATTATTATATTAAGATAATGATGGACCATTATTATATTGCAACTAAACTTCATAGTGCATGCACTGTATTGCAACTAAACTTCATTAGTATATGCACTGTATAGTATAGTATATGCATTAGTATATGCAAGGAAGACTAGATATGAAATAAGCAGGAAAAACCTTAAAATAATGATAATATTAATAATTAAAAATGGTTTATATAAGGAAAAAGAAGAAAATTTATCGAGGTTATACAAATAGTTGATATTTCAATGCAATTTTGGGTGAATGTACACTTGAAGAAATATATATGTATATTTTTTGCCACTAAACATGCAGACTTTTCTTACTTAGTAGCTCACTCTTTTGGGTCTAAATATAGAGATTTTGACTTTGCATCGTCAAAAGGCCACACCTAATGTATAGATTAAGTTCATTGCCCTCAGGAACCTGAAGGACTGGCTTGTCTTGAACTCTCACATTTTACACCCCTCATTCTGACAGTTAACAGGTTCTATTAAAATTTCCCACAGGGCAGGAATGGGCAATTGCAGCAACAGACTTGGAAACCAGGTTTCATCAAAGGGATCCCAGGGGCAGGGTGACCATGGAGGCTGGCACTCAGTGGGGACACTAGAAAGCAAGAGCAGGAGGCCTTGGTTGCCAGAAAGAACCACAAGAAGGGACTCCAGGGGGTGACTGCACCCACCCTCTCCCATGCTTGAATCCCTGCTTAATGCTCTGAGAAAGGGCTTCTGCTTGGACTTTCCCAGGGATGGAGACACACTGTCTCCTGGAGCACTATGTTCTGTCTGGACAACTCCTTCTTTTTCTTTTTTTTTGCTGAGGAAGACTGGGTTCCCTGTGGCAACTGAGCTAACATCTATTGCCATCTATTGCCAATCTTCCTGTTTTTTTTCTTGAGGAAGATTAGCCCTGAGCTAACATCTATGCCAATCTTCCTCTATTTTGTATATGAGTCACTGCCACAGCATGGCTGATGAGTGGTGTAGGTCTGCACCTGGGATCCAAACCCAGATCTTTCTCTATTTTGTATGTGGGTCACTGCCACAGCATGGCTGATGAGCAGTGTTGGTCCATGCCTGGGATCCGAACCCGCAGATCCGGGCCACTGAAGTGGAGTGCGCCAAACTTTAACCACTACACCACGAGGCCAGCCCCTTGACAACTCCTTTTGATAGAAAGTTCTTCCTTATGTCTAGCCAAAGTCCTGCCTCCCTTTACTTTCCACCTACTGATCCTATTAATGACTAATCTTTGAGGCCTCACAGAACAAGTGTTATCCATAGGCAGCCTTAAAGACAGTTTTTCTATCTCCCAAGTTGCCAGTTGTCCAGGTTGAACCTCAGTGCTTCCAACTGTTCCTCATTTAGTTGGTTTCCATCGCCCTCCTGATCCTGGTGCTGACCTCTGGCTATACCCCAGTTTGTCATTATTCCCTTTATAGTGTGCTGCCTGGAACGGAATACTGCATGGCAAAAACAGTGCTGTCATCTACCTGGGGTTCTGTCTCATCCTAGTGCAACCTAGAATTGCATTAGCTCATTTGGCATCTATTATTATATCATTAACTTCTGTTGAGCTTATCATCAACTAAAAGCCATAAGTAGAGTTTTTTTTTTTTCCTTTCCAACATGCACACGGTTGCCAAGCCACTTATTCCACATCCTGCAGTTGTTTTTAGCCTTCAGATCTATAGATTTCAGCTTCTTTTTGAGCAGTTTTCTTAGCAATAATCTGCTGTGGGTTAACTTCAGTTTTTATACACAACATAAAGAAGCCTCTTTACAGCGTTTGAAACAAATTGAGCATCTGTACCAAGTAAGCAACAGAGTGGTCTCTTGGTTGATGGGGAGGGAATGGGGGACTTGTCAGTCCCTGCATTCTGTCCCTTCTTCCTCCATAATATGCAGGATTCACTTGGAAGGCTCTATTCTTCAGATGCTTTTGATATGTTGGAAGAGACTAGAAATTAGCTGTTATTTGCATAAAGAATTACAGGAGTCGTTTCCTGGAATATTAGAGCCAGAGAGTTGCTGGCAGATATTTTAGTTTACCCCCGCCCATTCGCACATTTGGAACTAAGACTTTAGACAAATAAAGAGAATTGTTTCAAGTTACTAAGCAAACTGGTGAGAGGCCACTTTAGAACCCAGGCCTCTGACATACATGGAAACTAACTTATTAACTTTTGCCTGAATAGCAGCTTTCAGCTGCTCATATTAAGATACTTCATAGGTTTTTTTTTTTTTCCTGGCCCTCTTAGGAGTTTAGCTGTTCCAGAGCTAGGTGACTTCTTTGAATTCCTCCAGCATGGGAGCAGATGACACCCTCTTAGATATTTAGCGAAGTCGGTCTGGTGGTGAAGCTAGACAGGATCCTCCCTGGGACTTCGAGCCCTTTATTGGCTTTCCACCAAGCACTTTCCTTGTGAGATTGCATAAGGGCCTTCATCTTTTACAGTTGGTGGGAGAAAATGAGAAATGAGTGTGGCACTCGGGTGCCAGGCTGGGGCCAGTTTCCAAAGAATCCCCCGGGACTGGACCTGTGGGAGCACTTGGCACAGAGCTGTCTTGTGGCAGCTGGTGTTGGGTGTCGTGCGGGATGGCCTGTGGTGATGGCTGTTGGAGGTCCTGTCTCCTCGCCAGGTAACTGAGATAGCACACCAGACTCAGGGTGGGCGTCCAGCCACATGCTGGGGGAGAGCCCCCGATAGGCGGGCAGTTGTGCCAATCTGCCAAGTGTCTGAAGGGTTTTTATTTGTAATTTTTAGTGTTCGTCTACCTTTTTTTCCTTGTTTGATTGCAGATTCTTGGAGGACAGGAAGTTGACTCTTTTTCATTATAGTATTCCGTCACTGCAATTAGTGTGTTCAGTAGATGTTTCCAGATACAGGCAGGGCGTCAGGGTGTATGTTTACTGCTTTGCTGCTACCTGGTGGAGCAGAGCAGGTCCCTTGATCTTTGGGGGGTTGAGTCTTCCTCTGTACCGTGAGCAGCTTGGAGTGACCTCTGAAGGCTCTTAGCAACAGTCCCCAGGATTCTGGGAGCCTCATGACTCCCAAAATGTATCCTTATCTGTGCAGATCCTTGTGTCTCGTAGAGAAGTCATTGTTCTCCTTTCTTCTGTAGTAGCGTTACTGAGAAAGACCTCCCAGGGGACGCCACCCTCCCCATCCTTCCCCAGCACAAAACAGGAAGGGTTTCTTCTTTCACCATCTTTAAAAAATTAGCAAATTTGTAAAAATAAAAAAGAAGAAGGGTTGTGGAGGGGAGACGTTGAGACAAGGGCCAGTGGTGAGCACTTCCCGTGCTCCTGGTCTTCCCCTTGGCTGCTTTCAGCTGCCATTTCTCAGTATTCAGGCTGGGTTGCAAGAAAAGATTCCTAGGGTCAGCAGATGAGAGTCACTCCTGACCTCTGGGAGAGGCCTGAGGTCATGGCAGAGAGAAAGAGAGTGTCATTGTGGCCCTGGGACCTGGTGGGGAGTTGGAGCAGAATTGGATGATCCAGAGGGGGTTTCTTGAATGCAACAAGGTTCTTTCTCCAGTGAATGCAGAGGAAAATAGGATACAGTGGGGCATATTTGGATTCCTGTCCTCTGAGAGCTTGCTCTTGGGGAAGACGGATGTAGAGACAATTTAACTATTGTTCAAGGTCCAAGAAATTAGCTCAGAGGGATAGTTCATCTTGACTAAGGAACAGGGAAGACTTCCTGGAAGCGCCTGTCTGTATCTTCCCCCATGCCTCCCCAGCAGTGGCTCGCCTCTGCTCTGGCCAGGTGTACTGGGGCAAATTTAGAAATATCTGAGTGTGGCATGACTGGGAAGGCTGGGAGGCAGAAGCTGAGTGAGCTCAGCCCGCCCACGTTTACTTTGCACCTTTTCAATTTCCCTTTGTACCAGACACTCTCATACTTAATCAATCCATAGTTCAGATGTCACTGAGCTACTGTGACAATGGCTGCTCCTGCCCCAGAGCCCACCCAAGGCTTGGAGCTAAAGGTCCCAGCCCCTGGAGGTCTTAGCGCTGACCCTGTCCCCCCAGCTACCATGTCCACGCAGAGGCTTCGGAACGAGGACTACCACGACTACAGCTCCACTGACGCGAGCCCCGAGGAGAGCCCGTCTGAAGGCCTCAACAACTTCTCTTCCTCCGGCTCCTACCAGCGGTTTGGGGAAAGCAACAGCACAACGTGAGTAGCTGTTTCTTCTCCCCTCCTGGGCGGGCTTTATGTTCCTAGGTATTAGTAACATAGTCTCCCTTATGTTATTTTTGCTCCGCCATTTTATCCATTCCTCACTTCGCAGATGAAAGTAAGATAGAGATTGGGCGAGTAACAGCACCGAGATTTGAGCTTCTTGCCTGCCACTCTCTGGCCTGTTTCTTATTCTTTGTTCCTTTCGGCTATGTTGGTCCCGGAAGGCTGGTGCCGAGGAAGAGCCTAAACGTAAGAAAAACTTCTAGAGAGAACTTTCTCTTAATTTAGAACCATGGGTCATCTATGCTAGAACCTCAAATACCTCCAGGCTCCATTGGAAGCCTCCTTTGCAACGTCTCCCCCAGACTTCTGTCCCCGTCACCAAACAGCCAGTTCATTTGGCTGAAGAAGTGGGAAGAAGGAGGAATAACTTTTCCTGCACTTAAAAAAATTCAAGAGGTTAATAGAGAAGAGGAGATGGGCTTTGCATTAAGGAGGGCTTATCTTATCCTTGGAAACTGAATCTCAAGACTCGTCTGGGCTGAGGTTGGCCCTCTGTGGGCCTCAGTTTCCCCAAATGTAAGATAAAATGAGGACCCCACTCTGAAGCTATGCTGACTGTCTGGTGCTCACACTCGAATTAGAAAATTCAGAGGAGGGTTTTCTACTCCATTGAGTTCTCCGACTCACTCCCTGATCTCAGCATCCCATCTTTTGCACCCCTTCTGTTTATTCAAGCTTAGCTCTCACCCTTTTTGTGTTCCCTTGTGGATTGGGTGTGACTTACTGAGGGATTCTTTATGTCCTAGACTTACACTGTCCCCTGTGACTCCCCAAGAGACCACAGAAGCTTCTCTTAGAGCTCATTACTGGTGAAGCTCCCTCTGGCTGCAGTCTTTCCTGGTGCAGGGCATTTTCCCTGGTGAACTGGGATAGAACTAGAGGATATGGCCCGTGCACATTACCAGCCCCTCTCCACCACTAGCTAATTTCTGCTCATAAAGATTCAGTCTCTATAGCTTATCTCTCAAGTGGCATGCTTTTGTAGATTCCCCCCTTTGTTTGGAGTGTTGCAATGGGAAAGATTGCTTAGAGCACAACTGGCAGCAGTGAGGACTATCTTTCCCTTCTTCCCCTAACCTAATCCACCCAGCTGGCTTCCCCCAGGCAGGAGCTGCAAATGCAGCCAATGGCACGTGATAGCTTCCCCTCAGAAGTCACGCTTGTTATTGTGAAATACTTCTTCCAAGCTTCTCTCTTGTTTCCCTTCCAGTTTGTGCTCTCAACTTGTTCTCAACTTGTCTATGCAATGCTTGCCATAGCGGAGTCTAGATTTTCATTTTTAAAGTGACCTCTCTGAAGTTCAAAACGAACCAGCTAGCAACCTCAGGATGGTAGCTCACAGGTTTTGTATGCATTGAAGCTAATGCATGCCTGTTAGTTATTCTGAATATCTCTTTTTTTCACATTGGGTTATAACTAGTAGTCAACCCCAAATTACCCCTCTTTTGTTGGAAATTGAGCAGATCAGAAGATACCTTCCTCGGGCTTGTATTGGGACATCTTCCAGGGTGTACTTTGTTCTGAGGGCCCATCCTGCCCTGATATTGTGATGCCAGGTGTAACTAGGAGCTCATCTGTAAGTGATGGCAGGTATCACAGTCCCGTCACAAGTGCTACAGGGAATAGGACGCCCTTGGGACTTGGAGGATTGGTTGAGTCCTGCCCTGGGGCCTGGATCCACATGAGCATCTATGTATAGAAAACATGCCAGGTATGATTTAGGTATAGGCTGATTTGGGGGACCTTGTTAGCCCACATGAATCTCTAATACGTGAGAAATGTTAGGGATGAGTTTTTGAGCTGAATTCCTTGTCTGCTTGTGCCCTGTCCAACCCTGTTATCTAGTTTGCAAAAGAACAAAGCACATGGAGGTACTTCTCAGCCTACTGCACATACGTGTGCACACATCTGGCTCTTCTAGGGGTTAAGGGCTCAGTAAAACCCTTAACCAGGGGTGCACATAGGAACCCCACCACTTCCATGGTGATGTGCTTGGTGAGGTTACTTCCTAACACTTAATGTGATCAAGCTGTTTTGGCAATGGCCTTATTTTACTCTGTTGGGCAAATATTTCTCCTTGTTGCCCTGTTGAGTTATGTTATACCAGTTCTTGGTACGTACTTCTTCCCCAGGCTGCAGACTGAGGAACCAGTTGACTGAAACTGGCTTTCTCTAGGTTATCTGGAGCAGCCGTCTGCAAAATGTGGTATTTAGACCCTTTGGGGTTCCCAAGACCATTTCGAGAAGTCTGAGAGGTCAAAACTGTGTTCATAATAATACTAAGATATTATTTGCCTCTTCATTGTGTTGACATTTGCACTGATGGTACAGAAGCACTGATGGTCCTGCTGGCACCTTAGCATAAATCAAGGCAGTGGCACGACGTTATGCTAGTCGTCCTGTATTTTTCATTGCCACACGTACAAAGAATGAGCTAGTTTCACTGCAGCATGTCCTTGATGAAGCAGTCAGATTACTAATTTTATTAAGCCATGACCCTTCAGTACAGGTCTTTTAATGTTCTGTGTGACACAATGGTAAGTGTGCATGAGGCACTTCTACTGCATGTCCAAGTAGGGTACTTGTCTCAAGGAAAAGACCTTGAGTGATTGAGCTGTAAACTGAACTACCTGCTTTTTTTTTTTCCATAGAACACTATTTTTGCTAGAAAGAACTAACAAATTATAGGTTATTCAGACCTGAGTACTTGGCAGACATTTTCTTGAAAATGAAAGAAATGGTACCATCGCCTCAAGAAAAACAATCAACAGTATTGGTGTTGCCCACAATAAAATTTGAGCTTTCAAGCAAAATTTGAAAAAAACTTGTATCCAACACTGTGGCCTTGACAGCTTCCCTCTACTTAAAGACTTTTCTGATGAGATCAGTAATGATGTTAATAAATGTGATTTTTTGATATTGTATAATGAAATGTGCCAGAATTTGGAAGATCTGCATAACTCAGGGAATCAATATCTTCCAAATTACCAAAATATGATGTTAGAAAATTGTGCATGGGTAAAAGATCCATTCAAAGATTCAATAGGTTTTAATGTAATAGTGGATGAAAAAGTTCAGATTCCACATTATAACTAACTTCTAAGAAACTACCATATGTTGAGTTTTGGTGTAGTATCAAAGAAAAATTACCACAATTGTCTGAAGAAGCAATTAAAATACCTCTTCCATTTCCAACTACATGTCTGTGCGAGGACAGATTATTTTATATACTTCAACCAAAACAACATATCACAACAGATTATTTGCAGAAGTAGATAATCCAGCTGTCTTCTATCAAGCAATACATTAAAGAGATTTGCAAAAAAGTAAAATACTGCCAGTCTTCTCACATTTTATTTTTTTGGAAAATAGAGTTACTTTTTATTAAAAATCTTTTATATTAACATGTAATATGTTTATTGTTATTTTAAGTTAATTAATAAATATTTTTAAAATATCTCAGTTTTAATTTGTAATGTAGTATATATTAGACAGAATCCACACAAGCAAAAGCTATTTGGGATCCTCAATAATTTATAAGTGTATAAAGGGGTCCTGAGACAAAAAAATATAAGAACTGCTGATTTGGAGCATAAACAGAACTACAGAGATTTGCAAGGCTTATTTCTTCCTCCCTCCCCATAGTTAAGACTTTGCAGTCCACGAGTTGATTTTGTGATACTCATGTGGTTTTGGGTAATCCTAGCTTGGGGCCTTTGATTAAAAAGAGTAATTTTGGTCAATTGCCTAGAATCCTGGTGTTGCAGAGTTGAAGAGACCTTGGAAGGTATGTTGTCCTAGTCCAGTCCCCTCACTCTACAGACTAGACAATGGGCCTGGAGAAGGGAAGGGAATTGTCATATGGAGTTAGTGGCCGAGCCAGGGCTGGAGGGACCTGGTCTCCCACGTAACCCAGCTCAGAGGCATTTGGGGGAGGCCTCCGGTAGGCAGGTGGGTTTAGTACAATGCTCACCTTTGCCCTGAAGTGGATTAAACATTTGCCAGGATAGAATTTGATTGGCCCAGCATCCCCGCCGTAATCTCCCGGTCATTGGCTCCTGATAGTGAAAGTGTCACCCCCGGACCTTGCGGTCCTTAAGCTGTGTCCTCCGGGTAATCCAGAGAGCACTCAGCTTCTTCTCAGTTGACTCAAAGCAGTTTCCTCCATCTTTCCTGAAGAGCTTGGGGATGGTAGGAAGGTCAGGAGGTTTTCTCCCTGGGGGTAGAAGGAGAAAGGTTACCAAAAGTAAAATTCTTTCTAGAGGGTGTAGATGGGTCTTAATATAGTCTTTATGAATAGCATGTATTATTTGCCTTCAGTTTCTACTGAACTGCAGATTTGAAGAAATATGTGTAAGCATCATTTTGGAGGGACTTGGGTTATTTGTACAGAATTTCCAGACCGTGCCAGGAGCCAAATCCTGAGTGAGTCTGTGATTTGGGGCAAAGTGACACTGTATTTGACTTGTTTTGTGTCCTCCTGGAGGTAACAAAGGATAGAAAATGCTGAAGATGAGGCCACTCCTCTGCTGTCAGTCCTTTGAGGAGTTCCCATTCCCTATGGAATGCCCACCCTCGCCCCACCTGAGCGGCCAGGAGGCGATGCACGCCTCCGTGTTGGTGCCCCGCATCTCTCTCTCGGCTCGTATTTCCAGGCTCTTCTTCCCCACGGGCACACTGACAGACCCTGCCTCTCCTGCTGGGCTCAGCCCAGGTCCCTCCACTCTGTGAACCCTCAGCTGCCTCCCCTCCCTGAGCATTGATCCTGGGCTCTTCTTCAGACAGGGATCTTTCTACCTTGAGTGATTGTTAATGTGTCCACCTTATTTTCCCTGAGACATTATTAATTTCTAGAGACTGAGGTCTATGTCTGATTCATACTTATTTCCCCCACTGCATTAACATGACATTTTACACGTGATAGCTAGTATTTGCTGAGTGAAAAAATGAATGAGGATGTGTGAGAGGCTTTACAGTTGCAGCTTGAGGGGGACAGTCTGTACAACAGGCGAGGGAAAAATCTGTGCTTGAGGCAGAAGGACAAACTAGGTGACTGTCCAATCCTAGGCCTCTATGGGATTTGACTTTTTTTTTTAAATACAAAGTACGCCAGGGACTTCTGGCCTATTGTGGTACCGTACGACTTTTACTCTGCTCACTTTGCATAAAACGTTCTGTTAAGGGTTTTGGGCTTCCGTTTTTTATTTCCTCTGTTCTTCTCTGATACCAATCTGTCCTTCACAGTTACACTTGTCATCCTCTGTTGCAGTTTTAGATCTGAGTCTTTACAGTGGACAGCTCTGTGGTGACAACCAGGCCCAGATACACTAGGACAGGACAGAGCGCCTAGCGAGACCTCCACCCTCCCACCAGTCTAATCTCCAAGGGAGAGGGATCCTCAGAGCTGCCACAGAGAGCACAGCTTAAGCCCAGTGGCTAGGACAGTGGGCTCAGGGGTCAGACCACCTGGGTTTGAATCCTGGCTCAGCTCTTTACTAGGTGTGTGACCTGGAACACGTTGCTTCCTCTTCCATAAATCTCATAGGGTTGTTGCGGAGATTGAAGGAGATAATATGTGAAGGCTCTTAGCTCGGCGCTAAGTGCTTAATGAATGTTAGCTGTCATTATTGTTAACATGCTCTTGTCTGCCTTCTTCCCACCTCAGATGGTTCCAGACCTTAATCCACCTGCTGAAAAGCAACATTGGCACAGGACTCCTGGGGCTGCCTCTGGCAGTGAAGAATGCAGGCCTCTTGGTAAGGGTCTACACTGGTAGAGGAAAGTATTGTGACAAATTTTAGGAGACAGTGTTTTTCTTTCCTTAAATTACTTCATTTAAAACATTTTTTTTTTTTTTTGTGAGGAAGATCAGCCCTGAGCTAACATCCATGCTAATCCTCCTCTTTTTGCTGAGGAAGACCGGCTCTAAGCTAACATCTATTGCCAATCCTCCTCCTTTTTTTCTTTTTTTCTCCCCAAAGCCCCAGTAGATAGTTGTATGTCATAGTTGCACATCCTTCTAGTTGCTGTATGTGGGACATGACCTCAGCATGGCCGGAGAAGCCGTGCGTCAGTCTGCGCCTGGGATCCGAACCCGGGCCCCCAGTAGCAGAGCGTGCGCACTTAACTGCTAAGCCACAGGGCCGGCCCCATTTAAAACATTTTAAAATGAGAAGCTTTTGTAAAAAAATTCAGCAGAGGAAAAGCTGAAGCATATTTTTCATGTAAAAATGAAATATGTTTCATGTAAAGATATTTATTGAGGGCCTTCTGTGTGCCGAGCACTGTCTTAGGCTCTTAGAGTATTATCAGTGAATAAAACAGATAAGATTCCTGCCCTCATGGAGCTTACCTTCTGGTGGGGAGGATGTACTTAAAGTGTCTCAGGCAGTTTCTATGAATAATATTAACTAATGAATTTGTAACACAAGTCTGTCTTTTTCTACACAGTCATTCCATGCCCCGCCCTGAGGTGGCCAGCTCTGAGAATCCTAGTTTTTCTTTTATGACTCACCCCCTATAGCCTGCCTATCCAAAGCCATCTGGTTTCTTTTAGAGTTGGAGAGAGCTCAGAGATGTGGATTGTCCTTAGCTGAGGGCTGTATTTCTTGCTCTGACATTGCTCTAAAGAGAACTTCCCCCTCCCCCGCCCCCTTAACCCATCCCTGCTTCCCAGATAATCACAGGAGCCTGTGATCTGCTGATTGGCAGTGGTCCTGGAACAGCATTATCTTGTGTCCCTCTTCTCCATGAGATTAATTCTTTCGAAGGCATGCTAAGGTTCGGATGGTGCCTGTCTCATCGAGCTAGTCTCCGTGATCACATTTCTCTCTCTAATGCTGTGCCAGAAGTTCTGCCATTGGAAAATGTCTTAGTAGTGTTTTGATCATTTGCAAACTCCTAATCCTAATTGTACCTCCTTGTCTCTGTTAACTCACTCCTAATTGTACCTGCTTGTCTCTCCTTCTCTTCCCCACAACACCTATCCCCAGATGGGTCCCCTCAGCCTGCTGGTGATGGGCATCGTGGCTGTGCACTGCATGGGTATCCTGGTGAAATGTGCTCACCACTTCTGCCACAGGTGAGAGCCCTCCAAGCCACCTCTCAAGTAACAAATTGTCCTTTTGGGTTCTGTTACCAGTCCTGAAAGCGAGCACTTACACAGAGCACTCTAAATTCCTGATGCTCACTGAAGGTGGCTGCTCATTATCACAGCAATGCTTTTCCCTGTTGTTTTTGTGTTCTTTTTCAGCTTGTTGTCATCTGTCAAATTTACTTGTGTCTGGTGAACAGAGACCACATTCTCATTTTATGTGCTTTGTAATATTTAACCCATTGAAATGATTCTACCAGATGTTGTTAATTATAACAAAAGTAACTGTCCTGTTGACTTAACACTTCTCATCCTTGAAAACCTTAGATACAGGACTCAGTGGTATGTACAGGGTGACAGGTGGGGAACTGGCCCAGGTCTGAGTGAGCTATGTTTGTTCTGTCATTGTCATTGTCTAACCCGCACACTCTGCCCTTTCTCTCTCCCTCCCCTCCTCCCAGACTGAACAAGTCCTTTGTGGACTATGGGGATACGGTGATGTATGGACTGGAATCCAGCCCCAGCTCCTGGCTCCGGAACCACGCACACTGGGGAAGGTACCTGGTTTCCTCTTTCCTTTTTGCACTAGCCTCCCGGTGTGGAGGCCTTCAGATAGGAGAGTGAGATGTGGGAGACAGTGTAAGTAGTGGAAAGTGCGTTGTTTGGGTCAGTGGACTTGAGTTCCAGCTCAGCTCTGCCAGTGGTAATCTGTGTGATCTTGGGCTGTGTGACCCCTCCCTTCTCTGGGGCTGAGTTTCTTCATCGGTTAAAGCACGGGACCTGGCCTGAGAGATCTCTAAGGAATGTTCCAGCTTTGCCAGTCTATGACCAGTGATGTATTTCATTTCCTCATTTGTTCAACAAATATATTTAAGCCCTCTCTTCTAAGTGGTACAAAACAATTCTGTGTATAGGGAGGGGGGATTCCCTGAGGTGAATTACGTGATCCTGGCCCTCTAAGGATTTGTAGCCTCTGTGAGGAGAAAGATGTGTGGGAAGCTTGAGAACAAGAGATGAGGAAGAGTGTAAACCAGTAGGAAGCGAGTCTCATGAGCTAGAAATACATCCTGGGCTCTTAGAGGGAGAGGAGCTTTGAAGAGTCTCTTGCCCACTGTGCCAGATGAGAAGCGCACACGATAGGTACTTGAAGGGCAGGGCACGAGGCAGGAGAAGGAAGGCTTCAAGGAGGAGCTGAGGTGAGCTAGAACAAATGGATTTGTTAGAGAAGGACACATTTCAGGAGGTGAGGGTGTTTGGAAATTTCTCCTTATGGTGACTTTTCAGATGCCTGGAGGAAAATATTCTACTTTTTGTTTCCTGTTTGAGGAAACGGTATATTTAGATCTAGAGAATTGATACCATCAGGGGCTGAATCCTTTTTTTCTTTTTTAAGTGAACCACATTAAAACTATGTTCTCCAGAAAACTCCTTTTTGTGGTCACAGGGAGACTTTTACCTTCTTCACTCATAGTCACCTTCTTTCTGTGACGCAGGTTTATGTAATTCTTTCAGCAAAATCATTTTCTGAGATGAGGAGAAGCCAGATTGCCAAGTGACCACCATTGGTTGGTTGTTTGGTTGCTGATTAGTCCTTTCTCCCTCCCTCTCTCCTCTCTTTCCCTTCCTCTCTCCCTCTCTCCCTCTCCCTCCCTGCCTCCTTCCTTACTCAGCCTCTCACTCCTTCCCTTCCTTCCTTTTATAAAATTAATGTGTACTCATGGTAAAAAAAAAATTTTTTTTGAACAAGATAGAAGGACATAAAGTAAAAAGTAAAAATATATACTGGTCTCAGTTGCATGGGTATCCTTTTGGAATTTTCTGTATGTATACAAACATACACATGTTCTTAAAGTTTTTTTTACACAAATTGACCATATTATGCATACTGTTTGGAAACTTGCTTTTTTCCCTTAAAGGTCTTAGACATTTCTCCATCAGTACGTATAGATTTAGCATATTCTTTTACCTGCTGTATACTGTTCCATTTAAGAATGGTCTATAATGTAATCACTTTCCTTTTGATGACCCTTTAGGTTGTCACCAGCTGTTGTTGTAACAGTGCTTCAACCAGCAGTCTGTTTTGGTACATCTGTTTCTGTGTACTTATGTGAGAGTAGGTTGGTTCTTGGATCTAAGTGATGGAACAAGACTGTGAAGGGGTCCACTTGCTGGGCTTTTAAGCCGACCACTCTCTGTAGCTTTAGAAGGAATGGTGTGAGATGGGATAGGGGGGCTGAGGGGAGGAGGAGGCTGAGGGGCTAGGCAGAGGTCCTGGAGTGTATGTTCTGCTCCTGCCATTCCAGTCTCGGGATTGCCTGGCCCCATGCAACATTCCAGACAAGAAGTCAGGAAGGCTTCCACACAGATAGCACCTCCTTCACCTTCCTTCAAAGCTCCAGACCGGTGGCACCTAGCACAGTTTCTCCTCTTCCCAGGGCACACTCATCCTTGTCACCTGGTGGGAAGGGTCTATGATGACTTGGGAGAAAGCACTGTTCAGACACTCTGGGAGTCTCTCTGGGAGTCTTGCTTTTGATCGTCATGCTCTTTGTGTTCCTTCCTTCCCCACCTGCAGGCACACTGTGGACTTCTTCCTGATTGTCACGCAGCTGGGATTCTGCTGTGTCTATTTTGTCTTTCTGGCTGAAAACTTTAAGCAGGTAGGGCCCTGGTAAAACAAGAGAGAGAACTGTAAGAGATGAGGGGACTTTCTGCTTAGGATTCCTTCCAAGCCATTTTTGGTCAACAAAAGAATTACTATTTTAATACTTTACACAGAACAGTGTCTTTTGTTTGATTTCATCTAAAGACCTCGGGCATAGAGAAACCTCCAGATGTTTGTCTATCCTCTTGTCTTTAAGTGAGATCTGATCAAACCCAGCTCAGACAGCTGGGTTGCTAATGATAATTATGAAGATCTTCAAAGAAGGTTCACTGAACACAGACCTCTCTACCGCCTTGTTCACACTGAGTCTTTAGTCAGGAACCCCTTCTGGTGGAAAGCCAATGGCCTTAGTCGTCTGAGAGGCCTTTTCTCTTTCTTCTCTTCCCCTCATCTAGGTGATCGAAGCAGCCAATGCGACCACCAGCAACTGCCACAACAACGAGACGGTGATTCTGACGCCCACCATGGACTCGAGGCTCTACATGCTCACCTTCCTGCCCTTCCTGGTGCTGCTGGTCTTCATCCGGAACCTCCGAGTCCTGTCCGTCTTCTCCCTGTTGGCCAACGTCAGCATGCTGGTCAGCCTGGTCATGATCTACCAGTTCATTGTTCAGGTACGAGCCCAGGCTCCCCCTCCGCCTGTGAAATAATCCGAGAAACAGACAGAACAAGTAAAAGGGACTTAAATAGGGATGTGTGACTTACGCGTGGTATCTTTAGAATTGGGGTTCTCAGCCTCAGCACTGTTGACATTTTAGGCCAGGTAACTCTTTGTCGTGGGGGCTGTCCTGTGCATCGGGGGATGTTTAGCAGCATCCCTGGTCTCTACCCACTAGGGGCTAGTAGCAACCACTCCCCAAACCGTGACCACCAGAATGTCTCCAGACATTGCCAAAGGTCCCTGGGGGCAAAATCACCCCCATCCAGGTCACTGGTTTAGATTTTTTTCCCAATTAGAGAGTGAATGCATGATCATCGTGTAAGATTGGAAAATAGAGAAGAATATTCAGATAAAAATAAAAACCAACGTGCGGGCAGGTCTGTGGGGTAGTACAAGAGAGGACATCTCTGTGTAGGTGGGTAGAAGATCAGCCTGAGAAAATGTGTTATTAAACACTGGCTGTGTATGGACAAGACAGTGCGTTTTGCCAAGACTTGAGAAAAGGGAAAGAGTGAAAGCAGGTGAATAAAAGAATAACTTTAAAAAAGTTATTTAAATTTAATTCCCCCAAATAATTCACCAGTATATATTCAGCACAATGCAGACAACACAGGTTCCTGTTAACACCACATCCCTACCCTGAGTCTCCTCCTCTAGGGACCCACTGGGTGTGATTGGTCTGTCTCTTCCAGGTCCTGTGGATGCATAGAAATATATAAACCAAAAATATATTTTGTTTTGTGTTTTTTTAACATAATTTTAAAAATTGTTACATGTAGCGTTCATTGACCTTGATATTTTTCCCTCGGCAATGCCTCAGAGAGCTTTCCATGTTGATACACCTGGTTGTACCTCATTATTCTTAATTGCTACATAGTATCTCAGAGAATAGATGTGTCATAGTTTACTTAACCAGTTCCCAGTCAGCAGACTGTCAGGTCATCTATAATATTCGGTGTTATTTCAGTATTACAACACTGAATATGTTTATGCCTTCCTTTTTGTGGACATGTATAAATACTTTTCCGAGATATTTTTTGTGAAGGCGCAATTGTGAAGAGTATGTGCTTTTGAGTTTTTTATATTTCCAAGTTGCTTTTTCCAAAAACTGTTTACCAATTTCATGTAGACTCTCTTCCATAGTACCTAAGCGTCCCATCCTAGCCAACACTGGGTGTATCAGTCTTTTCGGTTTTGTTCAGTCTGACAGGTGCGCATTGTTTCATTTTTACCGTCTGTGACCCAGTTACCCACTGATGTGGTTTCTAGGAAAACAGTGGGTCATAAAACACAGGGACTTCCTGTTCTGAGGAAATGACAAATGAATTTAGGTTAACATTGTACTCAGTGAGCATTTACTGTTTTCCTTGTCCTAGTAAGTCAGGTGGGTGGTGGATATGGACTCTTCTGCAGAACTGTTTTTTTTTTGTTTTTTTTTTTCTGAGGAAGATTTGTCCTGAGCTAACATCTGTTGGCAATCTTCCTCTTTTTTTTTTTTGCTTGAGGAAGATTTGCCATGACCTAACATCTGTGCCAGTCTTCCTCTATTTTGTATATGGATCACTGCCACAGCATGGCTGACGAGTGGTGTAGGTCTGTGCCTGGGATCTGAACCTGTGAATCTGGGCCGCTGAAGCGGAGCATGCCGAACTTAACCACTACGCCACAGGCCTGGCCCCCAGAACTGTTTTTTAAAGCATAAAATAAACAGCTCTCCGTGTCCCATTTTTTATGGGACTGGAAGGAGGGCCTGTGAACGCATGATTGACCATTTCCAGAGAACTTCTTGCCCCACGTCTGGCAAATTAAGTTAAAACAAGGAAGCGTAACTAAACCCATGACTTAACTTGGTCATTAGAGATCTGTCAGTGCCTAGGACACCCTGCAGCAGACATTAAAGATGAATTGAGTGAGGCCACCTCACATAGACATGCACACACACCACATTTATTTCTAAACCACTTCAGCTAGTTTACTTTCGTGGTTCGGACTGTGGTGGTTGCTGTGATCAGAGGGCTGGAATGGGAATACGGGTTCTGACCACATCTCAGTTCCATTTGAAGGGAGCGTCCATCCAGTGCATTGTCTGTGCGTAGTACAATCTGCACTTTCAGATGAGGCAGCCCTGCTGATTTCTGGAGAGCGCCTCTGAGCCTGCCTCTGGGCTCAGCCCATAGGTGTGTTGTGATCAAGTAGTGCTGTCTGCCCTGGGTGCAGCGGGAGAGACTGGTGGCTTGGCTGTGTGTTAAGCAGCTTCGTTTTGACGTGGCGCATAGCGAAAGATGCTCCTTTGTTGCTACTGCTGCTGTTACTACTGCTCCATCTTAGCATTTTGCCCCGTTACCATGAGGATTCCCCTGTCTGATGTTCCTGAATTTTTACCTAATCCTGAGCGCGTGTGTGACCCGTGCTCTTGCTCCTCATGCGGTCACCATCGTAGGAAGCAACCGAGGTCTTCCACCTGAGCAGGTTTCCCCGTATCTTCATCACGTGGAATGAGGAATGGCACTGTTCTGAGCAGAGTGCCTTGCCCAGAGGGGGCTCCCCGTAAGTGTTTCATCACTGCGTATCCTTAATTCTGAGATGCGTTTTCTCACAGTTATAACATTTCCAACATTGGAGTACATCTTGCAATCCTTATGTATATTTAACAGCATTTTCTAAAAAAACTGTTATTATTATCTTGGTAGTATTGTGGAATTGTGGAGATAATATGTTGATAGTGAGCTGATTTCGATTTGTATGTTTCTTTGCAAATTAAACTTTCTCCGTGTGGTTGGTTGGGTTATAAGTCAGTAGCAGTCATTAAGTAGGTAGAATTATAAATCCCTCCTGCTGGCCTCATTCATGCTGGTATTCCCAGACACGTGTTCTGAAATTCCGTCTCTGATACCTCGACCTGATCTGGTGTGTGGACCTGGGCAGTAGTCATCCACTAACCGACAGATCGCTCCTGTTTCCAGGAACAATTACACTGTGACTCAGGAGTAATTGTAGGGCAGTCTTCCTCTATTGTCTCACTGTAAGGCAAAAATATTTATTAGTCTGTGTTCCTTCCAAGTACTGAAGTGCTTCTTATAAAGAGAACTAACTGATTTCTTAGCAGGGGCTCAGAAAAAAGTATTTTTTAAAATCTTTATATTTTAGGGAGACTATAATGTAAGTGCTTTAAAATCTTTTAAAGAGAAGCCTATTGCAGAGGTTAATATTAGATCTCCTTTTGTGCACTGATGTTATTCTGTCACACTGTTAGAACGTGCCCCATATTTATCTAAATACCTCTACAGTTAAATCAATTGTAAAACATTGTAAAAGGCAGTTTTAAGGTCAATATTTCTTTTAATCTAAATACGGTACGCACATGGGTTTAAAAGTCAGATTCTAAAAGGACGGCAGCTTCTCTCACTCTGAGTCCTCCTCCTTCAATGCCGTCCGTTACTGGGCACTATTGTTCAGTCATGAGCCAGGTAGGATTCTGTGTCTGCACCTCCTTGCTTGTACATCCTTATATTGTACCTCAGTTAACAATTGCCTTGGTTTTTATTTGCCTTTTGTTTTTGAGGAAGATTGGCTCTGCATTAACATCTGTTGCCAATTTTCCTCTTTTTTCTTTTTCTCCCCAAAGCCCCAGTACACAGTTGTGTGCCATAGTTGTTTTATTTGCCCATTTTTTAATGCTCTTTCTGCTATTTTTTCCACAAATGTTCCAATACTCCTGTCATGTGCCTATTAATAATGTTTTACAAGTGCTCAAACTCATTCCCAAGAATTAAAACAAAAAAAAAGAAAGAAAAGCAGAGAAAAAAAGAAAAAAAGTTCATCTAAAAATTTACCACCTTCCCTTCCAGCTTTATCTGTGTGGAGTGTTTACGTAGTTATATCATAGTGAAGACGTAAATGTGAAAAATATTGTTCTCACTCTTATTTCATAAGCAGTTTTTCATGTGCCACTTAGTCATCTCAATTTTTACTTTTTAAATAGTGCATAATATTCTGTGGTATAGTTGATGTGCAGTAAACTAACTGTTCACTTGTTTGGGAACATTTAGGTTGTTTTTAGTTACTATTAAATAGCTTTGCTCAACTTTTTTCATATTTTGATTTTTTTTCTACTCGGATTAAATTTCTGAGGATGGGATTACCTAGTGAAAGAATGTGACTATTTTTATGCAAGCTCCAACATTTGAGTGTTTTATGGCACATTGAGCTAGGCTTTCCTCAAAGCAAGTAGGGTTTTCTCAGCCTGAAGGGAAAAAAATATAAAGGTTGAACGTCCCTAAATCACCTGTCAGGTGTCAGACTTTCTCCCTTCAAAGGATCTTGGATTTATGGAAAGGAGTGACCTGTCTGATATTGGAGTTCAAATCTCGAATCTCTCTATAGCCTTTGATTTGTCTTATTTTCTCTTTCAGAGGATCCCAAACCCCAGCCGCCTCCCGTTGGTGGCGTCCTGGAAGACCTACCCTCTGTTCTTTGGCACGGCCATTTTTGCATTCGAAGGCATCGGGATGGTAAGAGTTACACTGTGATTCTTTGGTGCCCTTGGTGTCCTCGAGGTCTGCTTTAAGGAATGCTGTAGAAGTGGTGTTAGAAATGGTCTTCTGAGACTTGTCTGGTTAATGAACAGTGTTTCAGGGATTCCACTGAAGTTTCCCAGCTCCAACTTTTGAAAATAAATTGTATGTAATTTGAGAGTGTTTGCATTCAGACCCCCTCTGCTGCCTGCTCATCTCCTGTGTGTGCAGTAAGCAATAGTACGTGGCAGTTAGGAATGCAGGGTCTGGAGTCAGACTGACTTGGGATGAGTCCTGACTCTGCCAAAGGGTAGCTTTGTGACTTTGCACGAGGACTTGACCTCTCTGAGCCTTCATTGTTTGCTTCTGAAAAGTGAGCTTAATGATTAGTAGTTGTTAGGATTAAATAAGATATGTGTAAAGTGCTTTGTACAGTCCCTGACACATGGTGAGCATTAAAGGAATTTTTATTTTCATTAATAATCTTATCAATTTTATTATTAAATCAATAAATACATGAATGATTTCTCTGCCCTCTGTTTTCTGTGCTATATTTTCTATGTGTAAAGGAATAGCCTTCACTCCTAGCTCAGCTTCCCCCATCATTGCTGTGATTTTACCAAATTCTTCTCCTGAAGAGAGGAGCCTGCCATCAGTTGTTCCTAATTTGATTTTTATTTGTATTTTTCATAATTAAAGGTCCAGAATTCTTCTCTGAAGAAAATGATTAGCTCTGCTGGCCAAGGGCTTAAGAAATGGGAAGACGCTTCTCCTTTCGTGGAATTTCTTTTTGTTCCCATTTGATTTCCCTATCACCTTATACACTTCTAAGAAAACCTAGAAGCTGGACATATGGTGGTGTTGATGGAATGTGTTAAGGGTCTGACATCGTGGGGGAGGCTTTCTGAGTGACTGTGTGTAAGTCGTTGTCCTAAGGTTTTAAACCTTTCCCTCCCTCTTTCCTGGGGCTTCTCATTGCCCGGGAAGAGTGTCTCACCTTAATTCACAAGCACAAGTGGTTTCCCTGCTGCTGGGGCCGAGGCCTGAACGGGCCGTATCGCAGCAGCGAGAAAGGTCCCGAGAACTCTGGACTGCAAAGAGGTTGAGTATGTGGAAGGATGCCCGGAGACCCTGGGGTCTTACAGAGCATCGTACTGCCTTTATCAGCTTTCCTGATGGCTCAGCACAGAGGCTGTTCTTTGCTTCATTAGCCAAGGCTTGGATACGGAGTCATCCTGTAAACATCATTATCTGTTTCTTCAAGATTTCTCTGAGTTTTCTATTTTTACAACAGAGAGAGAGAACACTGTAGTTTTGACTCCTAGTTTTGGATTTGAGGGCTGTTCGACATGTCTGGATGAAGTGCCCTGCTCCGTGTTCTCATTGTGCTCTCTCTGTGTTTGTGCTGCTGGCCCAGGCCTGGCAGACCTGGAGGAGGTGGGCTCCCTGCCCTCTGGCTCTCTCTAGACTCTCCATAGGAGGAAACTGAAGGAAAGCTTAGAAACTGTTTCTGATTGGATGTGGATCAACTGAAGCTTGGGACCCTTGAGCTGATGGCGGATGCTGAGGCCAGTGGAAATGCAGAGCTGTGGCGCCCCTCTGAGCACCGGGCCTGCAGCCGGCTCGTGGTGTCTGGCACAGACCCTCTCTGCCTCATGGCTGCAGGTGCTCGAGGAAAATGAGAAAATGAGTGTAACGACAAGATCAAAGATGGTTTGTGGGGCAGCTAGACATTGCCCTGGGTTGCTTTTCCTCGTCAGCCATGCCAGATGCAGTTGATAGCAGACTGTGAAGATTGTCACAGTCACAGTCACACCTGCTGTTGTCCCCATTCCTAAATGAACCAGTCTTCATAAGGGGCCTTTCCTTTCCTTTATCTAAGGTTCAAGAATGTCCTCTGCTGTGAGAGAGGAGGCAGCAAGGGTCAATGGTTTGAAATAGGAGTCTGGAAACTGGGTTTTGTGATACATCTCCAAGATCCTGAATCTCCAAGGTCCTCTATTAAGTCATATCACCCCCAGCACCTCAGTTTCTCTAACTTGGAGGTTTAACTTGTGACCACTGGTGCCTGCCCCTTTTGGGGTAAGGAAACAGTTTCTGGGAACTAGAGTGGCAGTTTTCCCTGACCTACGTTTTGTGTTCGTTGGACTTGTTAGCAGAGCTGTGACCTCAGGTGAGGTCCAGCAGCCTGTGTCACAACAGCATCTGTTGCACCTCGTGCCAGGTGGGCATGAGGCGAGAAGGCCTGCTGGTTGTCATGCAGCTGCATTCGAGGGGCAGAGAGCGCTGCCAGCCTACAGGGATCTTGCAGCAGGAGGCAGAGCGCTGGCCTGGGCTGGAGTGCTGGGTTGCAGTCCTGCCCAGCCTTACCTCCCAGGATTCCTGGCTCAGACAGTGGGCCCTACGTCTCCTCCAGCTCTCCAGTGTAACTTCTGATGAAACAACTTATTTGTTTGTTTATCTGTCTAGTAAAGGACGAATATGCTTTTGGGGCATCGCGGGGATAATGAAGTTACTTTTTTCTGAGAATATTACATTCTTTCTTGGCCATTAATGTTGCTTTTTTCTATGCTTTCTCTTCTATCTCACTACTCTCATAGGTTCTGCCCCTTGAAAACAAGATGAAGGATCCACGGAAGTTTCCCCTCATCCTGTACGTGGGAATGGCCATCATCACTGCCCTCTACATCAGCCTGGGGAGTCTGGGGTACCTGCAATTTGGAGCTAACATCCAAGGCAGCATAACCCTCAACCTGCCCAACTGCTGGTACGTGGAGGAAGATGGAAGCCCGGAGCACTGGATATTTTTTTAAATTAATGGGTCAGAATGTGGATTTTTCCTCCTCCTTCTCTCTCAAATCTGCCCGCTTTAGCCTACTTCTGCCACCCACCCCCCCAGGCCGGCACCATCCCTCCTTGGCTGCCCTCCAAGCCTTTGACTGTCTCTCTGCCTACGTCTTTCTCTTTCTCCAGATCTCTTCTCCCCTTTATTACCCGTGTGAGCATCTAAAACTCAATCCGATCATGGATTCCCTTGCTGAGAACCCCTCAAAGGCTTCCCTTTGCTCTTACGGAAAGACAGCCCCTTAATGTGCCTGTCAGGGCCCTTCAGGCTCTAGCCCCACCCCCAGCTAGTTCCTCCTCAGCAAGAAGAACTTAGTCTAGGAGTCACTTTTTGAGACGCTTTCTCTGATCTCACTGACGATGATTTTAAGTCCTGGTCAGATGCCCCTTCTCTCTGCTCCTGTGGGACTCCAGTAGGATCCTACCCTAATTCTTATTCCGTTGTGTTTGTAATTGTCCCTTCACCTGTTCTGTGGTCTCCCTACACTGGAAGCTCTGTGAGGGCAGCGGCCGTCCAGTTCTCCACTTTATCCCAACATCTGGCACCATGCCTGGCCACGATCACCACCCCGTGAATGATTTCTGAACAAGAAGGAGGACTAACGCTGAGACTGTGAGGCTTTTTATAAATGAGGAGATGTTATCAGGGAGCAGCTGGGGCACAGAAGATCGACGTGAACTGCTCTGTCCTCACTCTGTGGCCTTGGGCAGTCACAGCTTCTCACTGTCTCATTTCTCTCTTCTGGGAACCAGGAATAGTCACTTCTTCCTGCCAGGATTGTCATGAAGATCAAATGATACATGTGAGAAAAAGCTTTGTAATATTACTGGTGTGATGGAGAAGTGGGATGCTGCCCTGAGCTTTAATCTCTGATTGGATGTCATTCCTATGGAGGCATTTGCCGAATGGATTGGTCGATCAGCTGACTGATATACCATTTCCTCCTGGAAATCTGAGCCCAGAAGGGCCAAGTAGCCAGTCCATGCACCTTCAACCATTCCAAATAGATGGGGAGAGAGGAGAGCAGATCTCCTTGGTTCCCAGCTTCTGCTGTACCTTCCCCCATGGGAGTCACCGGCCTGACATGCAGGTGGAGCGTCTCACCATGGACCAGAGTTGTGGGCACCCTTCTGCATCTCACTTTCCTTAACTCTTGGTTGCCGTATTGTAGGGAAACACTGAGACGTAGTGAAATGCTTCCTAAAGAGTTAGCTGTCACTGGGTGTGTCCTGTGCAATAATTCTGTTCTAAAGATTAAAATTTCATTGTGGAGAGCATCTGTGAGCAGACACTGAAAGCTTGTTGGGTCCCCCGGGGATCAAAATAACGTTTCCAGCTGGCCGGTTGATCTGCCTGAGTGTGTTTTTTAGAGCTCTGATTGGTGAGGCATTGGGCAAGGACAGATTGAGGAAACTGAGAGAAGCATGTATTCAGTAGTGTCGTCACTGTTGAGCACAGGACACCCTAATCAGCAGCGGTCTGGGGACTAGGTTTCTTGTATGGCCAGCCAAGTGGTAGCCCTGAGATGGGCCGCTGTTTTCAGGAAGTCTTTCTTTCTCTTTCCCTCTGATGCCTGCTTTTTAGTTTCCAAATGTTCCTCCCTTTCAAGAGTCAGGTGGTAGCTCCGCATAACCGAAGAAAGATGGGTCAGGAGCCGCGGAAGCAGCCCACATAATAGATGCCAGAGCCGTAGATGGGCATCTGTCTTCTCTCCTTCGACACTCCAAACCCAGCTGCTCTAATCTTTCTGCCTCCATTTGGGGGCGATTTATTTGGCTGTCCCTGCAGGTGACTCTCCTGATTGCACACTTCCCAGTGCTCCAGAAGGCTTTGGTGCTACGCTGACGTTAATTATAGAGCCACCAGCTGATTTTTCCAAAGGGTTTTTATTATCTGTCATTGGAGCAAGTAAGGCCTTTTGTCAAACTCAGCCTCTCCCAGGGTGTTCTCCTGCTTATAGCGTAAGAAATCTTCTAGGTATCAAGTTCAACCACAGAGAAGTTCAGCGCACATTACGCACAATATAATCATCACTTTTAAATAGATTTCCAACAAGGGGGTGAGACCAGTGTTTCTCGCTGCTTAATGCACGAGAGTCTTGTTTGAAGTAGAGCTTTGCTCAGGGACAGAGTGGCCTTCCTTTTAACAATCATGCCAGGTCCATGAGTACTTAGTGGTCAGACTTTTTTTCTCCTCTGCACAGTCCTAGGCATGGGATAAGGTAGAGGTAATCCATGGTGCCTTAATGATCTCCCTGAGAAGCTCTGCGTGAAACGGTGGTAGGAAGATGGCCATAGTGGAAGGATGGATTTTGCTCCTGCCTCTTAGTCCTGCGTGGTCACCATCTGGTTTTTAGGAGCACTAAATTGGATGGGAGGATATAAATAGGCTTGTTAGATTTTAATTGTATTTTTTTTTAAAGGAAGTGTATTTTATTTTATTATTTTTTTTTTATCTCTTGCTTTTTTTTTTTTTTTGTGAGGAAGATCAGCCCAGAGCTAACATCCATGCTTATCTCCTCTTTTTGCTGAGGAAGACCTGCTCTGAGCTAACATCTATTGCCAATCCTCCTCCTTTTTTTCCCCCCAAAGCCCCAGTAGATAGTTGTATGTCATAGTTGCATATCCTGCTAGTTGCTGTACGTGGGACGCGGCCTCAGCATGGCCGCACAAGGGGTGTATCGGTGCACACCCGGGATCCGAACCCGGGCCGCCAGTAGTGGAGCGTGTGCACTTAACCGCTAAGCCACGGGGCCGGCCCTTAATTGTATTTTTAATTGTTTTTATTTTTGAAAGGCTATATGCCCATGGTAAAGATTCCAAATGTTCAAAGGGTATGCAGAAAATGTTAAGTTTCCACTCACCTCCCCTAGTCCCCAGTTCTACAGTTTTCCATTTCAGAGGCAACTGTATTACCAGTTTCTTATGTCTGCTTCTGGAGATGTTTGGTGTGTGTAAGAATGTCACATGTATGTGTGTGTGAGGGGGAGTGTTTTTTCCCTCTTTTTTTCTTTTTTAGACAATTTGTAGCAAACTGTAGACACGGTTCTGCTTCATGCTGTTTTTGCTTAATAGCATATCGTGGGGCTGGTTCTGTATCAGCACCTGGAGTTCTGCCTCCGACTTTTTAACAGCTGTATGAGGACACCATGATTTATTTAACCAGTTCCCCACTGATTAGCATTTAAACTGTTTTCAGTCTTTCGTACTTAAACAATTGCTGCAGTGACAGATTTTGAATATCAATTTTGTGCACATATGCAAGTGTATCTGCAAGATAAGTCCCTCGACATGAAATTGCTGGGTCCAGAGGACATGTGCATTTGTCACTTGGCTGGATGTGACCAGTGGGACCATCTTGCACACTCACTGCTGGTGTATGAGCCTGCGGAGCAGGCTTTCGAGTGTGTCTTGGCTCTCTCCGCAGGCTGTACCAGTCGGTTAAGCTGCTCTACTCCATCGGCATCTTCTTCACCTACGCCCTCCAGTTCTACGTCCCAGCTGAGATCATCGTCCCCTTCTTCGTGTCCCGCGTGCCTGAGCATTGCGAGCTGGTGGTCGACCTGTCTGTGCGCACCGCGCTGGTCTGCCTGACGTGTGAGTAGAAACAAGATAATTGCCTTGTTTTTTCCCAAAGGGCCCCCAGTCCCCAGGGCTTTCCTGAGAGAGAGCGTGTTTTGGAGAAACTGCCAATGCTGCGTGAACAGGAAACTTGTCGCACTGTCTCAGTTTCAGAGTGGGGGGCACGTCCAGATGGTGCAGGGGATTGATTATATGTCTCTAAAGGACACAGGATGAGACGGTAGTTTATTTATGGACATGGCATAAAATGCTGCGGTGATGGGCATAATTCATAGTAGAGACACACGATTGCTATTCCGTATAAAATAAGGGAGAAGTCTAAAAGAGAGGCACTTAACCCAATGCATAATGATTATGTTATTTTGATAGCGAACGTATGTTTGTTTTTTCAATCATTTTTCTGATGTGACAATCTATTCCTTAGATTTCATTTTGAGCGTGTATGATACTATTTTGACATTTTTGGATGTTGGTCTTACTAAATATTATGTTTCTTAGAAAATTGCTATTGATTAACCTAGGTGTTTGATTTATCACTTTTGTGTTTTATTCCTTTTCCCACCACACACCCAGGAATGTGAGTTAGGAGACAAAGTGTCACTCTATTTGTAGGTTGAACTGGTATGATTTAAAAATGAAAATAAATTCTTCTTTTTAAAATTTTTTTTGCAGCATCTGTGAGTTGATAGAATAGAGAACCCCTGATAAATTGGTCTGTAATATCTGATTTAAATTTCTAGGAGGTTTGCAATCTTTCCAAATTGAAATGCTTGAATCAGATTTGTCTTTTTGACTGTGTTTGGCTTTTTATTTTTAATTTTATTCTTTTGGTAAAAGAAACGTCTTTGCTTATTGTATTGAGACTTCTCTGGAAGTTTCCTTAAATTGTCCAGTCCAAGCTTCTGTCTTTGGAATAAAGAGAGATCTGTATGGTTTTTTAATTGAACCAGAATGGAGTGTGTTAGGGAAGAGTGATGTGAAAGTTGTCTAGCATTTGCTCATAGTCTGGAAATCAGAAATGACTTTATTGGTTGACTATTAGCAAGAGAAGAGCAGGCAAGAGGCTATCCATCCTTTTCATTCACCCAAGCAAGATCTGGGAAGCAGCCTAGTGCCTATCAGAGAATGGACCTCCTCAGGGGAACAGACTAGCACCTATCCCAGAATGGACCTCCTCAGGGGAACAGACTAGCACCTATCCCAGGATGGACCTCCTCAGGGGAACAGACTAGCACCTATCCCAGGATGGACCTCCTCACGCCACCTGCAGTTCTCTTCCTCATTTTACTTCAAGGATAGTGCGTGGAAGCTCAGCGTCCATCTCTGTGTGGAAAGAACTCACTGGAGCTAAGGAACTGAAGGCCTTTCCATGACCACCTGTGTTCATGTTGGGCAACACTCCTTCCAAGGATTTCTGACAGGGTGGGGATGGATAGGAGCCGGGCAGAGGGTGGCTAACTTGCACTCACCAAAGCCAGAGAGCTGATGGCAAGAATCTGACTTCTCCTTGTAGCCTATAGCGGCAGCCCACTCAGCAGCAAATCCAGTGCTCTTAGCTGCCCACAGGCCACCGCTACCCCAGAGAGGCTGAAAAGGAAGGAGCGTGATATATCTTGCTTTTCCAGTAAATTCCCTAAATATGTGCTAAGATAGAATGCTTGGACCCCAGTTTACTCCTGTCTTCTGCCAGCAATTCCAGATGCTTTGATCAGATATGTATGTTTTCTCTGTAGGTGAATTAGCTCTAAGTGTTGAGGAGACAGCTTCCGTGTTCACAGTGTTTATAGCGTCAACTCGACAGCCCCGATTCTTAAATCCAAAGGGCATTGGAAGAAAGGATGGGGATAGTTTAAATAATTGGCTTTATTTCATAGTGGTTTTCTAGAGAAAGTTGGTCTGTCTGGGTAAAGTGTCCTGTAATTGCCTAGACAGCTCCTTCTCCCTGCCCGACGAGCTGGGGCAGGGATGCTGGGCCTGCTTCCTCTCCCTGCCCCATTTTCTTCTCCAGCCTGGCTTCACCTCCGGTAGCATATGTCTTGCTTCCTGCCAGGTTTCTGTCTGCTGCGCCCTGCAGGAGCCAGCAGTCTCTGAGTCATAGACCTCATGTAGGCCTTAGATGCCTCCTGGTTTCTGCTTCACTTTCCCTGGCTCTGTGCACGGGTCTCATCTCCCTTCTATGGCATGGTGCTCAAAGGACGCAAGCTGCTTTTGATCTTCAAGCACGATCAGTTGTTTTCCCTTCTCCTGTGATGTGTTGTGACTTAGCATTGCATGGTCATCCTATTAAAGGATGCAGCCCTTCATCTCTGAGCTCTCTGGCTTCTCTCACCTTTCCTGGAGACTTTGAAGTAATTGTGGGAATCAAGAGAGGCATTTCACTGTAGCACCAACTAAAATGTATTTGTGTGAGTTCATTTTGTTCTTGTTTCTTTGTACGTTCAGATCTTTGGGCACAAGGTTGATTGGTATATGATTTTAGATCTTTGATATAACTGATTGTTTTCAATTATGCCCATCAATTTTAATGGCAACTTGGTTTTTTGCTATTTCTGGTGTTTTCTTTTCTTTTTCCCCCCTTTTCCTCCTCTTCCTCACCCTCCATCCCCAAGGGGAGCAGGGGAATTTGGTCCAGCCTCATTTTTTTTTTCCCACTTGGAATTCAAGTTTCTCACCACTTTCCTCCATCCCCCAAAGATTGCTGTGTCTACTTTGCGATGCTAAATTTCAGACTGTTGGAGAGGAGGAGAAGGGAAAATACGCATGTCAGAGACTAGTGCCCCTTTTGTTATGATCTCATATGGGACGGTGTTTACTTGCAGCGCATATATTTAGAAATGCAGGCTTAGCAGGTCACCTTATGTCCAGAGCTTGTGTAGAAGGAGAGGCTGGAAGAGGCTGGCTCCTCCTGACGATTCTGGATAGTTTCTTTGAATTCCATGAGGCACTAACCTGTCCTTCAGTGGTTCGTACTAATTCTCTGTGGCGTGTGCCATGTGAAACATTTTATTTCAGTTAGGTATGAGAATTTCAGAAACCTGTCGGTGAAGATGTAATCACATAAAACCATATCAATTAAGAGGCCTGTTTAGACTGGAACGCATACCTGCAAAACATTCCGAGCAGCCAGACCCATTAGAGCGTGAAGCTTCCGGTCCAAACAGAGTGGCTTCTTTGACCTTTTGGCCGTTCACGCTGCTTGGTCTTGCAGCTACAGTGAAGAAGGGCGGCAGCATTAATTAGCTGTGCACTGTGCCCCCCACTCCCAGGAACCCTCACGAGGCCTCAGTTTCCTCAACTGTAAGATATGAAGGGTATCTGCTTGCTAAGGTTTCTAGCAAGTCTAAAATTCTGTGATTCTGCGTTACTTTGAGCCTGATTTTAGATTTCTACCAACGTATTGCTTGAAGAAAGAGAGTTAGTGTAAAAACATGTGAAGAATGTCTAGATCTGAGGTTATTGAAGAAGAAAGTCCCAATATCTCACTGACTTAACAAAATAATTTTTCTTGCATTTTATCTTCTGTGTTAATCCTCACAGGTGCATTTTAAAAATAGTTGCCATCATAGTATACACATAACTTTGTCTTTTGCATTTTATTTAATATTATATCACACATATACATATTCTTCATAAATATTTTCGTGACATGATATTCCATTATATTTACTGAACTACTCCTTTAGTGTTGGACTTGTAGGTTGTTTCCCTTACTATTATATTTTTTTTACTTATACTCCCACTAAATGAGATTATACATTCTGTCCAAGGCTATTAGTAATTTTAAAGGCAGATTTCTAGACATTTAAAGTAACACTGGTGGGCTCTACCAGCAATGATCATAAGGAAACAGCAGATATAAGGAAACAGCTCCTTCCAGGCACAGGAGCTGTAAGTGTCCAGGCATTGCTGTAAGTGTGTATTTGTTCTCTTAAGTGCTTTCTCTTCTCTTGTGCACAAGTCAGCTCTTTCTCTTGCTGGTCTAAAACCACAGGCTCCAGAATCCCAGTCAGCTCCTTCTCTGAACATGGCCGTTTGCCTCATGTGGCTTCAGCAATTAGAAAGAGCGTGGTTTTTGTATCTCTTAGCCCGAAGGGAAGATGTTTTGTAATACCATTGGAGCCCTCTTGACTAATCATGTGGTCCGGTTGAGTTGTCCTCGGTCCTGTGGCAGAGGGCTGTGGAACTGCCAGTTGGGACTCTGCTGTCTTCCTCTCTGTATGGGGTATTCTTTTTGTGGGGAGTAGGGGGAGTGGGGAGAGGGTGTTCCCAGTTGGCTGCTTCCTGAGATCTCTGCCTCCTCAAGTTTCTCTTTCTAGAGGGCTTTAGCTCATAGAGTAAAGACGTTTAGTGCTAGAAGAGGTTTCAGTTGCTCCCATATCTTTCCTAAGTACCTGATTGCTGCCTCTGGAATTAGTTAAAACTAGTTTGCCACATTTTGCATGGTGGCAGAACAGATGCCCCTGCTATGGAGCCCTCAGGGCTGTTTATGCTAATTTGGTTTGGGTCCCCTCTCTTCCCCCCACCCCCTACATTAGTGGGAGGCCTGCTCTTCTTGCCTTCTCCCCCATTCTCTCCCTCCAATGTCAGCCTTTATTTAGGGTTCAGTTGTGGTATCTGGTCCAGCTAGGACAGGAAGAGGGTCTTCCCTTTGCAGCCCTGTGGTCTTGGCTTTAAGAGAAGAGAAAAATTTTGCCCCTTCTAAGGATATTTTTGTTAAGCATGCTTATCTTGTATATCCTTTGTAGTAAAAACAAGAACAAGTTTTTAGATTGCTTCTAAAAATTTCATGATGAAGTGGGACATCTCTGTCCAATCTGAGAAAATATTCCGATTGCACAAGCTTCTGTTTCTGTTTCCACTTCTTATCACAGAGTGGAGCTCATCTGACTTCACTCAACTCATCTCACGAAGTGGCCGTATGTCCCCCGGGTTAATGTGACAGAGGGAGAGGAGATAACAGACTCTCAGAGCTGGGAGGGGGTGGGCAGGTCATCTGACTTGTCTCCTCCGGGGCTCAGTGTCTCTGAGAAAGGCCTCCTTTCTCTTGAGTGGGCTGGAGCATCTGTGGAAACCAGGGGCTGGCACCAGAGGAATAACTCACACTCCCTTTAAAGAATCAAAACCAGGCGGGCTAGGAGCTGTGTTTTGGGCACAACCACGTGTCCCCTGTGCTCTGCTGTGCCGCTCTTCAGCAGCACAGTGTGCTTCCCAGTTGACAGTGAGTTGAGGGACACATCCCTGCACACTTTCCTAAGTGACTAAATCTGCACTGTCCAGTTCCTTAAAATTTCAGAGTCGGGTGAGACTTCAACAGTCATCCCATATTAATATAATCACCTTATTTCGTGGGTAAACGGACTGAGGCTCAGAATGGTGAGCTGATTTGCCCTGGGTCACAGCCTGCTGCTGAGCAGGGAGGGTAATTACAGTAGCTAACATTTATGAAGTGTTTATGATGTGCTTAGGACTCTAAGTTCTTTACGTGAGTGATCTCATTTGACCATCCCTATTTAGCAGTAGGGGAAATGAGTCTTAAAAAGGTTGTAGCTGGCTGGTTGTTCTTGGAGCTGGGGTTGGAGCCTAGGTTCTGGGTCCAGAGCCTGCACTCTGAACTACATTCCCGTACCAGCCTCTCCATGGGCTTAGTTCTGGTTGCTGCCTCAGTGCTGTTTCCACCCCACTACTCACCCAACATGTGGAACATGTGGAGCCATCACTGTGAGGCTGACATTAGGCAGGTGGAGACCCAGGCCCCAGAGTGGGCAAATGTCTTATTCGAGGTTGCCCAGCAGATCAACTCTTGTTGAGCGTTGGGTTATCCATGATGAGAATGCCATTTAGTCATCAGCCTATAAACACTTTACCTCCAACTTTCCCCCGAATTCAACCCTGAAGATTTGAGGGATATCACCAACTCTGTTTATTTAGAAACAGCTAAGGGCTGAGACAAGTTAAAAGCCTGCTCCTTTTGTAGACTTTCTGAAGGCTTCAACACAATGAAGGTGTTAATGGGTAATTGCCATTATGGTTGATCACTAGAAGAAGGAAAGGGGAAGAGATTGCCCCAGGGCTATAAAACCGAGGCAGAGGCAGATCTGAGACTCAGTGTCCCTGGATCCCCTTTTGTTATCAGGCTCAAAACCCTTGTCTGATTTCCTTTACAAAGCAGGGAGAAGTCGGGGCTGACCGTATACCGGATTCTCTGCCAGACAATTGTGGTGCTTCCCTGGGAAGCTAATCTGATCTCTGATTCCCCCAGTTCTTCAGATAGGACCTTTCTGCTGATCAGCTGGATCCCCCGTTCTCCCTCCTGCTGTGGGTGTCATTCTGTATTTCCTTACTCGTCAGGTCTGTGATGTGACAAGGGCTTGAGGCCCTGGATTCTAGTCCCAGCTCTGTCACTTTCTATCATTTAACCTCTCTTTCCACGGAGACAGTAATAATGTTGGGGAGTTATAGACCCGTGGGGAAATCGAGGCAAATTCACTTCAAAGAGTGGCTGCTTTGCAGTGCTGTCTGCTAGACACTGGACATTCTGCAATGATGGAGGCGTTCCGGGTCTGTGCCGTCCAGGACGGTAGCCACTACACACAGGTGGCTGTTGAGTCCTTGAAATGTGGCCGGTGTGAGTGAGGTGCTGAATTCATCTAAATTTAAATAGCTGATGACTACAGTGTCGGACAGCACAGATTCAGAGTAAGTGTGAGGCAGGAGACATGAATCTTCTCCCCCGGGAGATCTCATTTCCCACGTGCCTCTCCTCTTACTGCGGGGAATGATGTTCCAGTTTAAAAGTAAGTGTTTCTCGTAAAACCTGGCCTCTAAATGCAACCCAGTCCTTTCGTCTGGTGCTCAGCCAAAGAAGCAGCGATCGATTCCAACAGTCCATCTGGAGGGTGAAATTGGCCGTGTTGGACTGAGATGTCCTGGCAGTCTCACCAGTGAGATGTCCTGGCAGTCTCACCACTCTCAGCCTTCCTCAGAGTGATTTGACTACATTTCTGCTTTCTGAAATGAAGTTAGAACTGAAACCCCCATATCAAGTGTAACCCCCTCGTAGGGATCAGTGAGGTAATAGACGTGCCCTGGGTCGGACCTCCAGGTGGAGCCTGGCAGCGGGGAAGACAGTCGGTCAAAGCACATTTGATTACTAACGAGTTAATGATGCACTTTACACAAGCAACACAGTATACACTAGCGATGATAATACGAACTGTATTGCATGCCTGTTGTCCACCAGACCTTTTGTTAAGTGCCTGTGTAACCTCGTTTGATCATCATGACATCTCTGTGACATAGGAGCTATTAGTATCCCCATTTTGCAAACAAGAAAACTGGGGACTAGAAGGGAGCCATAACTTCCCCAGTGTCACTTGGGCAGAGCTGGGGTTCAAACACAAGAGCTGAATTCCAGAGCCCGTAATCCTCAGTGTCTTGTGAAACATTGGCCTTCTCTTCCCCCGCCCAGTGGAAAGCTGAGTTGGATGGGAACTGTGGGACCACTGGGCACTGGAATAAGTGTGGTCACTGAAGCCTCCTCACTTGGTTTTAAACAGCACTGTCTGACCAGCGTGACAGTGGTGCAGTCCTTAGTATGGTACGGAAGCCGATGGCATTTCCTGATGCAGCTCACCATTCATCTTTGTCAGTTCCACCTTCCTCACATACACCCATGGCTAAGTTTCAGGTGTGGGAGCCACTAACTTGTCCTGGCATAGGGACGTGGTCATTGTGTGGGGCCTTGCCCCTGAGGTCAGCCTGAACGCAGAACTGCTTCTGCTTTCCCTGTGTGAAAGCGCTGTATGAAATGGGGCTTATCATGGTATCGTTCCAGAAGGGGGGTTTTTCCCCATTTGGTTTCTTGTCAATCAAGTAGAGATGTTTGTGTTGGAGGTACCCTCAGGGGTAAGAAAATGAGCAGTCGCTCAGAAATGGTCCACCTCCTTTTCTGCTGTATACTCTCTCTCCTTTGATAGGAACCAGATTGCCCTGGAATGTATGTAATTTGGTTCCTTTTCTTCAGAATGATGGAAGTCGTGTACTGTAGCAGGAAAAGCTAAAAGCCAGGTGACTGAAGCCAGGAGACCTGGGTTCCATCCCAGTTCTGCCAACCCTGCAGTGAGACCCAGGTTATTCCACATCTCTGGGCATCTGTCTTCTCATCTGTGGAATGAAAGATTGGATTGGATAATGGCTAAGTTTTCTTAGAGCTCTCCAGCCGATAAGAAGGAGACTTGCTAAATTTGCTGAGCCATCTCTTGCAGCTTTGAGCAGTCTTGAACAGACATGTCCTCTCTCCCACAGGCATCTTGGCCATCCTCATCCCCCGCCTGGACCTGGTCATCTCTCTGGTGGGCTCCGTGAGCAGCAGTGCCCTGGCCCTCATCATCCCGCCCCTTCTGGAGATCACCACCTACTACTCGGAGGGCATAAGCCCCCTCACCATCGCCAAGGACGCCCTGATCAGCATCCTGGGCTTCGTGGGCTTTGTGGTGGGGACGTACGAGGCCCTCTATGAGCTGACGCAGCCAAGCAGTGCTCCCATCTTCATCAACTCCACCAGTGCCTTTCTATAGTGATCTGGGTGCATTCCCTGCTCACCCCACCCCTGTATGTTCCCTCGCCGCAGAGCCTCAAGTAGGGTCCAGGCTCTCTGGGGAAAGGCAAGGTTGCTGTCTGGGAACCCCTCTACCTGGCATCTGGCTACCCTGGGCCAGGTGGGGCCGAGGGCAGGGGAAAGAGTGGGTAGCAGATACATGGGAGGTACCTCTAGTAGCAGTGCCATCACTGTTCATTTGTACTTATCTTAACCTAAAACTTTTCAGCTCTTGTCCCTCATCCTGCCTCCTCCCTTACCTGCCTTCCTCCTTCTGACCTCCCTCACTCAAATTATTCCTCTTGCACAACTCACTTTATTTAAAAATTTTAACATTCCCCACCTCATGTTTTCTCCTTTCCTGGGCCAAGCCTAGATTAAATAAGTGGGACCCCCCTTCTTTATAAAGCCGAGCCTAACTCTTTCTTGTATCTCTCCCAAGTGTTTTACCTCAATATTCTCCTACCTATTCAAGTCTCCAGGAGGTGTCTGGACCTACCTAGTAGTTTAAAACCAGCCCCCAAAGCTGGAGTTTTTAATCTCTACTCTCTGGCGTGCTGTGACCCTTGGCAACACCTTCTCTTTTCTGAATTCCTTGTGTGGGTCACAATACTGTATTCTTAGTTGCTTTAGTTCCCAAAAGATATCAAGTGCTGCCTAAATTGAAAATATTTATATTTTATTTAAATTAGCTTTTGTTTTTAGACTTTGTCTCTAGATCTGGGTTGTTGTGAATTGTTCCTTCCTCAGTAAACTTTTATTCAGCTTCTGCTGCTGAAAAGAAACTTGCTCCAGGAAATGTCTGCTTAGGTCCTCAGCACTCCTGGCTGAGGACCCCAAAGGTTTGAATCAGGGTCACCTCAGTGTGCACCTCTGTGGAGGGGCATGGACTCTGCCTCCCGTTGGCCAGCCTGATTTCATATTGAGAAGATACGAAAGCCTCAGGAAATACTTGCCAGTGCATTAGGCTGAGGGAAAGGATGGCTGAGTGGGATGTGTATCTGCCTGCAGGAGGCTTATAAAACGGGCACTTTGTGCATTCAGGCCCGTTTGTCAGCCTCCGCCCCGGAGAGGCAGACAGCATGGCAGCGTTCAGTTGCTGTCATGTCGGGAAGACACCCAGACTGTTGCCGTGGATGAGAAGATGAGGCCAATGTGCACAGAGAGTGTGAAATTAAGTTCATAGAATGTACAGCAGCTGGTCTGACACTACGCTTGGTGCTTGGTCGTTTACAATCAACGGGGGAGAGGGCCGAGACAGTGCCCCCCAACCCCCCGAGCTGCCTCCATGACCTGGACTTCTAAAAGAACCACTTAGTTGGGACTTCACTCCCCTGTGTGCTAAACACTAATTGTGACCCCTGTCCCTCCCGGCCATGCCTCCCTGAGTAACAGAAATAGCCTCAGGGTTGGCCCACCTCAAGGCCAGCCTTCAGATTTGGGGGCAAACTGCCTTGCTTTGGGCTGCCTCTCCTTCCCTCTTGGTGTGAGAAGTGTTTCTGAAGGGCATTCGTTAACTCTCCACCTCTTGAGCTGTGTGTGTGTGTGGGTGTGGATGTGTGTGTGTGTTCGAGTCTTGCTGTCCTCCGCGCCTGTCACCAGGCTCACCTGGAGACACTGTTCGCCCTGACAGTGGGGAGAACAGCACAACTTCGTCAGGGGTTTTGTTTTTGTGTTTCACCAAAGCTCCTCAGGGCTGTGACCCCGCCCCCCGCCCGGGCCCCAGCTTTTTCTTTCTCTTCTGTTCCAAAGCCAGACTCTCTTATTCCACTGACTCCTAACCTACCTAATAATTTATTAACTTAGGAAGATGTGATCAGTGGTGACTTGGTCTCCCTAGGAGAATGACACTTTTCACCCTTTCTTTCTGCTCTTTGATGGTCACTAACAGGTGCTTATATGATCGAGATTCTAGCTGGAGGTGGTAATGGCCCTGCCCTCTGAAGCCTCAGGCTTAGAAGTTACCAAAGTGGGTTCAAGAACTGTCCTCCCCATTTGCAAGCCCGGGCTCCCGCAGTCTTTCCACAGCTCACTGAAAACAGAGTTGTTTTCAGTGAGAAGGAGCGTGCCAGTAGGGGGGTCAGACTTGTGTCCTGCCCACAGCTTCCACGGTGGAGGCTTCTGTGCACTCAGGGTGCTGCTAGAGGCCGTCCCGTCCAGGTGGGTGGTGAGACAGGGACTGACTCGGGGAACTGAGGACTGGACGGCACGGTACTGAGGTCCTCTGGCCCCTGGTCTTAGCAAAACGCAGATTATTGCTTAAGGGTCCCTGGCCCGGAGAACGAGGTGTGTAGGAGAGACGGCTCTAGCTTTTGGGCTTCTGGAAGCTAATTTGGCATGGCCTTCACCCTGTTTGATCTCTTTCCTGTGCTCCTGTTGCTTTGGCAGCCTGATCGCATGGCTGCTGCAGAAGACCCAGCCAGGCGGACCAGTCAGTTGCGCAGCAATTAGGTGTTGAGTAAAGGGTCAGCTGGAAGATGGTAGCGGGAGGAAACCCTTCCTCCTCTTCTGGAAGCAGCCCTCTGGGCCAGCTCAGGGAAGCTTACTCTTCTGCTGCCCACAGGGCTTCTTCAGTGAGGGAGCCCTCCCTGGTTTCCTCCACTGCGTGTTAGGAACCAGCAGCCAAGCCTCTCCCTGTGTCCTGCTCCGGTCCCTGCTGAAAAGCCGCAGCGTAAGTAGAAGTCTGATGAAGGAGCAAGAGAGCTAAGGCTTTCTGGAGCGTGAGGCCGTATCTGCCAGACCAAAGGCCCACCGTGGGGTTTTCTGGCCCAATACTGTCAGGCTCTGTCCCTCCCCGAGTCTCCCCATGCAGCCCCAGGTTTCCGTTAACCCAGAGGTAGCTTCTCAGAGCCCCCTGTTCTCTCCCGCAGACACCGCTGTTGGGAGCAGGTTTCTCTCTGTCGGTGATATACTTCCCCTTAAATGCAGGTACTTGCTGGGAAGAGCATGGCCTGGCATCTTCTATTCAGTTTGCCTAGAAGGTGTCACCATTCACAAATGGCATTATTGATATGTGCTGCTGTCTGGCTGCTGGGAGCCCTCCCTCTGTACACACCCTGGCCAGGCATATGTGAATGTGTGGTGTGTCTTAGCCTCGGACCTGCAGCCTACGCCCTCCCTCTCTGTCACTCGCCTCTCCAGCCAATTCATCAGCTGATGCTCGTTACTCACTCTCTACCCCCCTGAAAGGTAAAACTTGTAGTTTTATCACCTGTCTTAAAGTGATGATCCTGAAAGGGTACGTTGGAAAGATCTTTTCTCCTTCCTGTTCTGTCTTATTTTTCTCTTCTCAAATTTCTCCCTTCCTGAATTATAGAGTGTCATCTCTGTTTAACACTATGCCTCATGGTTTTTGGAAGTGCAAAGTCTCAATTTATGTCTGTTTACAGCTCTCTCTATTCACTGCGCACAGCAAGGAGGTCTGTATCAGTGGGTTTTTATTGCGTAGCTGATCAGATGTTAAGGCCCAATGTTGGCCTCTGGTCAGAACATGCAGCTGCTCCCCCCCAGAGGGGCACAAAGTGCAAGTGGCATGACATGGTGATGAAGAGTCAGCTCCAAGTCTGCCTTAGAATTAAATTTCCCGAAGTACATTACGAATCTCCAAGACCATTAGAGGAAGAGGAGAGGGGGCGGCTTGTCTTTGAAATCATGGTCAATACTTTCAGGTGATAATTCTGCTGGTTGCAAGGCTGTTTGCTCTGACAGCATCAGCCTGTTACATTTCTTCCCTGTCCTTTGTGCCACTGGCTCCTTCCCTGGCCAGGGGACATAAATGGTGCTGATATGAGGTTACTGGAGTGGGAGGGTGGGGAATAAGGGTGGAGGGTGCCCGTTGTAAGCCGTGTTCTTTTGCTGAAATCAGGGTGATGCTGGGGAAGCTGTTTTGTTCTAGTGAACAATAAAATTATGTGACTCTGTTGTAAACCATGTCAGTGGATGTGTGAATAAGAGGAGTATGAAAAACTACTGTCCAGCAGGTCTTGATAACCAGACAGTACTGTATATGTCCTGTGCCTATGTGGATGTATATTTCCCGCGTGGTATGTGTAGAGATGTGGATCGTGTAGGAGCTCGGAGAAGACTCATTTTGGGTTCTGCATACGGATTGTGTGTTAAACTTTTCCTTTTCAATAAATGAATTTTATTTTTTATTTTTGAGAGGTTGTGATCTGCGTCTTTGTTTTCACTTTTTTTTTTTATGTCACTCAGATCCCTTTACTAGATCTTAGGTTAAAATGTTTCTAGTTTATGTCACAGAGCTCATCTGGGGGTGTAGTGTGAACCATAGAACCGTCTATGGAAATGAGAGTTCCCAAGAAAGGGGGCAGTTGGTTATTTTTCTGTTAGACAATCCTGCCCTTCCTGAGTCTGCTCCTGCTTCTCTTGAAAACTTGAATAGGAATTCTCAGCCCTCTCTGTGCATATCAGATGACTGCACATGACAAGTGCGATGGTTAGTTTTATGTGTCAATGTGGCTAGGCTATAGTGTTGAATAACTCAGTTATTCAATCAAACACTAACCTAGGTGTTGCTGTGAAAGTATTTTGTAGATGTGGTTAATGTCTGCAGTCACTTGCCTTTAAATAAAAAAGATTATCCTCAAAATGTGCTTGGGCCTCATCCAACCAGTTGAGGGCCTTAAGAGCAAAATTGAGCTTTCACTGAAGAAGATATTCTGCCTCAAGACTGCAACATCAGCTCCTGCCCGAGAGTTTCCAGCCTGCAGTCTGCCCTATGGATTTTGGACTTGCCAGCTCCCACAATCACATAAGCCAGTTCCTTGAAATCCCCCACCCCATGTATGTATGTCTGTACATGTGTATGTCTCCATCTTACTGGTTCTGTTTCTCTGAAGAGTCCTGGCTGGTATGAGAGGTAACACCCAATTTTCTTGAAGTGGGGAGATTGATTTCAGGACAGTGGAAGAGACGACTTTCCTTCCCTTTTTGTCACATTTAAGAAGAAAAACAAGACCATCTGAGCTGTCCCTTAGATGATTTGAAAACTACTTTTTGTTGGCTACTGAATTACACTTGTTTAAAAACAGAGCCCTCAAGGAACACTATAAAAGTATAACATTTTACTGAGACAGTAAGGTAGGGAATGCGTTATGGCTATTATCAATTATCAGTATTGTTACTGGAACTTGGGGCTCAAAGGGATTCAGTGACTGTGCCAAGTCACCATCCGGTCATTGGCAGAGTCAGGATACACAGGCGCAAGCCCTTTGATTCCAGAACCTGGCGCTTCCCAAGACACTGGCTGCCTCCCCCTCTTGTTACAGCCTCGTGGGGGAGGTCCACCTTCAGGAATTGTTGTGAGGGTTAGAGAGAATGTTGTAAAGTGCCTAGCAAGAAG